GAACCGGCCGAACGTCAGTCTGGTTGGCAATTCGAACCCAGTCAGGCACACGCCGACAGCGACCCGACAGAGCCCCGGTTGGGTTTTCCTTGTGCGTGCACCATCGCCTGCTCCAGAGCTGCTCACCGCACGCAGACTATTGCTAGTGCAACGCTACGCGCAACAGCGTACCAGAACAAAGCAGTGTCAAGTAGTTATGGTGTGGACTCTGTGCACGTGGCTGTCCGACCTGCCATAGTCAGCATTCGCAGGACCCCGTGGGGTTATCCAGCCCGGGCATCTGTTGCGGTGGCGCACCGGATGTGCTCGTTTAAGAGTGCTCATGGAGCAGCGTGGCTGAACTTCACAACCGACTGAACTACGAACCAACAGATGGACGAGAGACCACAAGACCCGTGATTGTCCAAGCTGAATGTCCAGACATCGGGCTGGAGAGAGAAGCTGAGACGCACCGATGGATGCCGCTGCCATACATGGGATCGGTTGCGCGTAAAGACAAGTGTCTCGTCTTACAAGGCATGTTTGGACTCACTCGATCTATAGGGCCCCAGCCCCAACCACTTGCCAGCGGGAGTCTGACCCTCGATCCCACGAATGATACGCCAGGGCCACCATTGCTGTGACCGCCAGAAGGTAGTGGATTCTCATGGCGACCTGACAGTGACGTCGGACGACCACATGCAAGGTCACAGGGACCATCATCAAAATGGCAGCAGCTGCCTAACCCTGGTTAGTGGTATCCCTCTCGGGTTACAGTCATCATCATGGAGGGGCGGCGTGGTGACTGACCAGCAAGGGAACCCAGTCATGCCTCATCGAGGGGATCGGGTTATCCGCTCTGGCGATGGCAATGGCTCCATGAAGAAGGGAATGGGCGGCCATCACCCGCCCAAACCAGCGATGCCACCACGCAACGGCAGAGCGGCTGATTCCGAGCAGATGGACCGGGAGGCCAAAGGTCAGGCCCGTACCGAGCGGCAATAGGTTCAGGACGGCGAGCTTCGCCGCACGTTGCTGGACGTCGGCCCAGCCATGGGCGGACACGAGTAGGAGGACAATGTTGGCGCCCAGGAGCACCCCGACCAAAATGACCTCGAATGCGGTGGATATGTCAATGGTCGGGGCGAGCCACGGCAACTCATAGCCGATGCGCCACCCAAGGGAGACCGCGATCGGGCGTTGGACAGTCCATCGACCAAGCCGGTGCGCCAGCCGCGCGATCAGCCAGACGCCCAGCAAAATAGCAATCCATATTCCGTACGAGTCAACGTATTGGATTTGGGTGGTTTGTTTATACAGGTCTGAGAGAATTGGAAACATTGTATCTGGAGGAGCGAAAGCCGGCTCTGGCAGATGGGAGATGTCGTATATAAACACTCACGGCGTCGGCTTCGGTCCACCGGTACAGCTGGATGTTACGTACTTTCATTATTGATGGTTGGCCTCCGCGCCCCTCCTATTGTAGTTGAAGATGGTGAAACGGTCAAGTAAATGACAGACACCCGCTTATTTGCCCGCGAAACCATGCGGTTAAATCCGAAAAACGCTGGGTCCTATCCGCGCTTCCAATCCGATGCCCAGGGATCAGAAATTTGGGGTGTGCCGATTGCCGAAGATAATCTGTAGGAGCATTAAATGGGTATTTAGCGAGCTTCTGCTTCTGTCCGACAGGTTTAGATTTTGACGGCCTTTTTACCATGGTGGCTTATGAAAGTTCACTTTTTCATCATCGTCGAACCGACCTGGATCCCGCCAGACGTAACAATTGACCGGGATGCTGAGGCAGCAATAGAGCAACACAACAAAATACTGGGCAGTTCGCCACATCCAACGGCGATATACACAGATTGCAGTGGCATAAACGGCAAAGTAGGGGCAGCGGCAGTGTGCCTACGACCCCAAGTAACCCGCTCAACGTACATGGGGCGCAAATCGGAGAGCACGGTGTTCGCAGCGGAACTACAAGGGATCCTACTCGCTTTAGTGGTCACTCTCCACCACCACATACATCACGTGGTGATTCACTGACACCCAAGTAGCGCTGCAAGCAGTGCGAAATCCGGGCAGGCAGTCAGGACAATATATCCTGGAGGCCATCCTCTTGGCCCTGAATAAAGCAAGCGATGGTGGCTTCGAAGTTCGTCTTCGATGGATACCCGCACACCGAGGTATTGAAGGCAACGTGCAGGCAGACAAGGCAGCAAAAGAGGCGACGGGTTGGCGACAGGTCCGAGGACACCGCGGTAGAGTAACAGAAGTTATGTCCGACGCAACTGCGCCTAGACCGGGATACCTTGAGGACCTCCAGATCGACCATCAAGATAAAGATAAAGGGAATACTGGATGGGAACGGGACTGGCTATCCAGCCCCCATAGTCGAGAAGTGCATGAGCTGACGCCGGTCCCAACAAAGAAAGCCCTGAGGGTACACCAGGGCCTTCACCTGGCACTGAGCACGGCACGGCAATCGTACAGATGCGCACGGGGAAAATCGGGCCGAGGCACTACCTATATCAACGAGGAGTACCAGATATACTAGACGAAGACTGTAGATGTGGGAAAGCCACAGAGACTGTACGTCATGTACTCCTCGCCTGCCCTAACTTCCAATCCCTACGGGAGGAAATGTTCGGGAGACGCAGTGGAGGCCCGAAGGAGAAGGGGACTTAAGAGCAATCCTGAACACGCCGAAGCTTGCAATGCAAGCAGCCAAATTCATGCTACGAACGGGGCTCCTTGGGCAATTCGGAGCCGTACACAAAGAGAAAATAGACGAGGCAGAGCACTGAGGTCATTGGGTACATGGAAGCTAGCAGAGCATGGGGAGCCCCAGACTTTACGTCTGAGTGGAGCCATGCCCTCATATCAGCGGACACTATGAATCGCAGCAGTACCCGCATAGCCATCGGTTATGATTGGCTGGTACGGGGTATGAGTTTATCCGTAATCCGTAATCCGAAGTGCCATTCCTCAACGCACCCGAGACAAATACCTTTGGGCCATCATAAGAACCGCTATCTCTCCTCGATGTCTCGGATAAAACACGAAATCATTACGATCTTCTTCGCCCATAAGCCAAATTCACGCATAAACTCAAGATTTGAAGGATTCGCGATAATATCCGGTTATAATGGCTGTTCCTCATCGCCGGCACCGTACATCACTGGAATCGGTAATCGTTCCTGAACCGCAACACTTGACGGCAGAAGAGCATGGCAAAGCAATTGAGCTCTTTAACACCATCATTCATTATTTCGAGCCTCTGCAGGAATCGACCAAGGAATACAAGCCGATCACCCTTGTACGCCTCACGAAGGAAGAGATTTCTGTTAAAGATGAGTTTCTTCTCTTATTTTTCACATTCATTGAGCGTGATCGACTTGGAATTTCAGAGGACGAGCAAAAGAAAATTTGCCTGGCTGAGACCCTTTCGAACATGCGAAATTTTCAGAGATGGACGAATGAAGAACGACATGCGCTTGGCCACAGTTTGGTTAAGTTTGCCATGTATCTAATAGATAATTTCTTTCTACCACGTATGTCACTCACGCGTACCTGCACAATGGGATACTTACTCTTCCTAGTCAAAGCATTGGCCACAAAGACTCCTCAACCTACGCCAGCATCTGTTTCTCGACTTATGTCGTCAGAACCAGCTATTGGCACCCCGCAACGTGTCTCTAATTTGCGGCATCTCTGCCTTGTGCGTGACCGACATCGATGCGTTATAACCCGAAAATTCGACGCTCTGGAGGGTGAAGCACGGTACAACATCCATGGGGACCAACTGACGGATGATGAGGGGAATTCTTTACTGCCAGAAAGCAGCGATATGGCGCTCCTAGAAGTGGCGCATATCATTCCTCATTCTCTCATGTCTCTTAGCAACATTGAAGGAGAGCCGAAACTGGTATGTTACTGTTATACATATGATCTTTTGCTGACATACTTTTTCTAGACCGAGCGAAAGCATATCGCCCACAAAATCCTCAAAATGTTCAACCCTACAGCTTTCCACTTGATCGAGGGAACTGATATTGACCGACCAATGAACGCACTCACTTTGACTCATGATCTTCACCGCTTGTTTGGTAATTTTGAAGTTGCATTTGAACCGGTCCAGAACCAAGAGCACACATACAGGATTGACTTCGTGAAGACTAAACGCATCTGGCGAGCCTACAATCTCCCTGTTACCCGCGAGCTCTTCATCACTCCCGACCGAAACATCGAGCCGCCTCTTCGTCAGCTTTTGGAAATACATCGTGCTATCGCACGCATTCTTCATCTTAGTGCAGCAGGTGAACATATCGATCGAGTTATTCAGGACATGGAAAAATTGAAGGTGGAGCCAGTGTACTCGGACGGGTCTTCTCGCATTGGTGAATACATCAATTATAAACTTGCCCATCAACTTGGTTGGACACATGTTCATTAGGGGTTGGCGTGTTGTTGATAGTGGCAATGGTTCAGGAGTCTACCGGGAACTGTTTATATTTTTTTTATTAGTTCGGTAGGCTGTCCCTTTCCTGGTTGTTTAAGCTATTAGGCGCCGTCGATCACTCATGATCGATGGACCCTCTCAGTCTTATCTGCCCGTCTCTTCTAAACACTCTGTGTGTTTGCCGAGGGCATGCAGGTGATGCATAAGTGTCTGGCCCTTCGCCTACCCGATAAGGTGACTTCCACTGTATAAGGCCGTACATTCTTTCATTCGCTGACCCATTACTTTCTGACAGAGTTTCAGCTACGTCAGAGCCGTCTGTCTCATTAGCTATAGAGCACAAGCTAATAGGAAGAGGCTAATGACGTCGCTGTCAACCTACCTTTATGAAGCACGCGCACCAACGTCGTGCCACAAAACCGAGCATTCAACGCCAATCTCCTTCAATGACGAGTGTTTGATATCCGGATTTCTCTCTTCAAACGACCTTCTCCCTAGTCCTCCCTCCCAAATCGGCCTGTCGTTGCCCGTTCATATCCGCAGTGATACAGTGATGATGATGATGATGATGATTCATACGCTGACCCCTCGCCTAAATTGGAAACCTGAACTGAGGTACAAGTGTGATCATATTTTCACTATCGATGGGAGTAAGTACAGCTATTTATAGCTGTAGTGTTGCCTTGTTTAGCCTCACTGCATGTCCTGATCAGGCTACCTCTGGTAGCCTGTCAGATTTATGCAAGACACACATATTAACTGGATAGTAGACCTCGCCAAAACGCGGGTTGGGTTGGGTTTTCATTTTTTGAACCCGCCCACGGGTTACCCAGGCTGGGTTTCGGGGGTCCCCAACCCGCCCATGGGTTCTGTTGAATATCACGGTGGCTGTGATGAGTATCATGGTGGCTGAACCTTATGGCAGGGATGGGACCAGACATATATATGTGCTATCCCGCCCATGTAAAAGACAACTCTCCTTAATGTTAAGTCAAGTTAAACTAGAATCCAGTCTATTCTCACTTTAACACCAAGACCTCATATATTACGGAAATTCATGTGAAATGTTGGATCTTTTTAAGAGGTATCTTAATGTAATTGATGTATGTATTACCGTTGTTTATCTTTTGGGTTGGGTTCGAGACCGCGATTTGGCGGGGTCTACTGTACACTAGCCGCTCACGTGAATCCAGGTAACAATTCACCCAGGCAGCAGGCCGCGTATTCAACGCCACAACCGTACATCTATTTGTCCCCCAAATCCCGAGTCATGTGACCATAAAATACTGTAACAAAAAGTCCCTGTACGCTTTGAAGGTTCTAATTTCTATCTCATCGAGCCCAACGCAACTCTTCATACACCGAAGAACCCATCATTGAGAGAGGGCTTCGGTGTTCTTAGATCCTCCATCACGGATCGTATAAACAGTGTACGAGCCGCCACTCCCCAGGAAAAACAAGCGGCGATCTGCGTCCCATCTGTCTTGGGAGCCAGGTCAGCCGCGTCCAAAAGCAGTCCTGCTCTGCATCGCCTCCACAACTCTCGTTATCCCAACCATGCAACAGCCTGTTGACTAGTTTCCGTCAAACCACCGTAAAGCTTAATAATAGTGAGCACCTGCTATAATCCAGCCAATATATGGATAAACTTCCGACAGAGATTGTGGGCATGATTGTGAGAAAATTGGAAAGTAGGGATTTTCTCAATTTTCGCCTTGCCAACAGAAGTCTCCGAGCAAGGTCATTCCAGGATTTCACTTTGAAATTTTTTGAGACGCGACGCCACATATTAAGCCGACATAGCCTTGAGACCCTTCGAAATGTGGCTACCCACCCTGCTTTTGGCAGTGCATTGCGTGTTCTCGTGATCCACCCTGATCACCTTACAGCACATCACCTAGCCAATCCCCGGAATAAAGAAGCCGCTGCGGTGGATAAAATCAGCTATGAACAACATTTAGCCGAGCAGGACCATCTGGCAGCATCAGGCTACGATACTGCATGTCTCGCACAAGCCCTTTCCAAGGCAACAAACTGCAGGACAATATTCATCGAGGATGATATTAACCACCGCCCTTGGGGGGCTCGTTCTCTCGAGAAATTGACCGGTGTTGAACCAAACTCCACATTGGACAGTTCAGAAAGCCGGAAATTCTTTGCTCGCGCTATTCATGTCATCTTCGCTGCTGTTGCTGCAGGTTGTGTCCCACTGCAGCGGTTTGAACTCAATGTGGGGTTGTCTAGAGTTCCAGTGGACCCAGGAATGCTACAGCTTCCGGATTTCTGCCTCACTATGAGTCCTATTACTTTGACACTCACAACCTTACGTATCACAGTTGGCCCACCAGAGAGGGAAAGTGCGTTACCCTGGGCAAGGCATCTAGTACGATTTATCGTGCAGTTTTCCGGGCTTGAAGTGCTACGTCTAGGGTTTGATTCTCGTATTCGAACAGGGGATCTTAAGGCGCTAAGCGAAGGCATTTGCCTCAAGAATCTCCGCGTCTTGGAGATCGACACGGTCAGTAGTACGGAAGACCATTTAGCTAGGCTACTTCTTGCCCATAAAATGACTTTGCGCGACGTGTATCTGGAATTAATCGAACTTCCAACTCTAGAGTCCTGGAAATCATTACTTAAGACCATTCGGGATGAACTTTGTTTAGACCGCCTTGAGATCACGGACTGTGAAGCCAGTGATCGTATCATTATGTTCGGTGGCAAGCAGTTATGGGATTCTATTAGCATCCAAGGAGGGAAAGAAACTTTGGATAATCTCATCGGAGCACTAATGTTGGGGAAGATGATCTGAGCCACTGTTGGGTGACTGGACATGCTCTTGTGGAGGCGGATGCCAACCACGTGAGCTACAAATACTCGGAGCTAACCGCGAAATCGAATATATGATTTTCGAAGGATTTCGGTCGACGGGGGCTGGTTGATGGGAAGTATGTATCTCTAGCAGCTTACCTAGAAAGTCATGTAACAGTTCCGCCGCTCAAGCCTGCCGTGCAGTCGGGCTCTTGCAACATGTACGATTCGTGTTGCAAAATGCGTATTTAGTAAGCGGTCTAAGATAAAGACCACGACGTCTTGTGGCGGCATGCTTTGCAACGTTTCCAAATCAATTGTCACAAGCTTGAGATCCTGCCATATTGTTTATTTTCCACCTTTTCGAAGCCGGGCTTATATTTCGTCGCTCCGACGCAGTGAGTACGCCGCTTACTGTCCGAAATGTAATCAAGGGCCCAAAGGCGCTTCCACCATTTCACATTCTCCAGGTCTCTGGCAACTAGATGGCCAATCAGGTCCTCCCGTAGCATATTGCACCGTTCACTGTCTCAGCGAATAAGTCCGCGCCGTTGGAGCACGGTCAGAGCTTTGTCGCGCTCTTGATGAAAGAAGCAGGAGTCCCCGTCATGGAGGACATGCTAAAACCGCGTCCCGGACCATCCCAAAATCATCATCTGCGCCATTAATTTTCCGTGGTACCAATATGCAACGCGAGGCTTAGAGTCCACAGACAGGGATGTGTTGTCCCTGTAAGTTCCTAAGCCGGTGGTAAATGCCCACTTTCGCTTGAAGGCGATGCTGGTTCTTCACAGTCGTAGCATTTATGATCAGACTATGTGCGGGAAATGAGAGTGGCTTTGATGAGATACCCTGTCCGACCACACACGTGCAGCTGTTCGAATCCGAGATCTCAATCTCAGGCAAGTTGACGACGCAGCTGGCGTGTGAACTCCTGCGGTCCGATGGCGTGTCACTGACCACCGTGAGGTTTCCAGCTGGAGCATGTTTAATCCAGAGGTCCTCGGTTGACCAAGCCGCGGATGCAGGCAATGGTGCAGTATGGTCGCGTAGAATGTCGGTCTTTCCGAGAAGTCTCTTTATGGTCTCGGCCGGCTCGTGTCCTTTCGCCTCCCATGGTTGACGGGCGGTTGTTGCCGATGCCGCGGCTCGATCGGTTGCGCGACGCGGGTGCGGCAGAAGTAGATAGCGTATGCGATTCTTGATCACTGACACTGCCTTCAGCGGACGAGTGAGCTGCGCCCGAGTTGACACAGACGCCCACGGGTCTTGACGGAAATTTTCGGAAATGTCTCTCAACACGTCGAGATATTCGCCACCAATTCGGGGATCGTCACTTTGTGCGGCGCTTTGAACTCTTACTCCACTGCATACACGAGTATTTGCTGTTTCTGCTGCAAGGTGCACGCAAAATTGGTCAGCGCGCCGATTGCATCGTCGCGCAGTGCTATCCCTCTTCTGTTTCTTCGCAGCTCCTCTTCCCTTTCCTCAGCCTCTTCCAAGCCTCGTGTTCGCTGGTGGTTGGGGTGTCCGCGCGTCCTCAAGATTCATCAGTGCTAGCTGCTACGACGGTGATGCCCTTTATCCATTGGGTTGGTATAATTTATGCAACTTTTATTTAGAGGATACGGGGGTGCCCGGGGAAAAGGTGTGAGATTTGGATTGAGTGTATGCGTGCAGTCACGCAGAAGACCGACTAGGACGAGTCTTCCTTCATTGGCACCTCCGAGGACCCCTCATTTATCGGGCTCGGACGTTAGACGTTCGTTGGTTATTCTTTTCCTGGATCCGACCGCGTGAAAACTGGCCCATGCTCCGTTTGCTGATAGGCGGACAAGATCGTTAATAGGTGTCGAGTACTGCTGCCGAGCGCGATTGTTTGTCCGTGGAGCAGGCCTGCCCGCTATACAAGAGACAGTTTACCCACCCCAGCATCACCCAGTCTATCTGCACACCCAGGAGGCAATTTTATACATCAGACGTTCCTAAGCCGCTTCCAGCGAGCGTCAATATGCATTGCTTGCCACGATAGGCACCGCCATCATTGATCGGTATACGTGTGCGCATTCGCCCCAGAAAGAATATCGATTACTACGGCAGAGAAATTAGAATTGAAGAAGCTGCGTAAAGTCATCAGCGCCGGGTGCAATGTCATGGTCGTTGTCAAATGAAACCCCTCCGTCCTCCTGTATAGTCCACATATCCGGCGCCGCTGTCGTTGCCAGTAGAGCAGTTCTCAAGGCGGCAGGGTCCGCATTTTCCGGTAAACCAGCAGGGCTCCAAAGCCGCTGGTGCCAATTCGTGACGGTATGCTGCATTTCAAGCACCAATTGTTGAGTATCCTGTCGCTCGGAAAGCTGTTGTTTCCACCGATGCTGGTCGTTCACCAGCTTCTGCTTCTCACTCTCGACGACTCGAAGGCGCTCCGACAGGGTCTTCTTGTCCCTCTCCAACGCTTCAAATTCCTGCTCCAGGGTTTCGACGGTAGCCAAACATGCCTCGTGGTTCTCCAACGATGGGGCAGAAGGAGGGTCTCGTGAACCAGAGCCAGGTACCTATACCAGCTAGTAGGTACGTGGAGTCAGCGGAACGATCCGGGACCAGCAACCGTACGTGAAGGCTTACCGTGGATGGGCGTCGACGGGACCGCAGAGGCTGCTGGGGAGAACGCATTACGGGCTCCAGTCTTTGGATGGATCGTGGGTCGGAAGCGGTACTGTACTGCGACTCTCGATCTTCCGGGTGCTTGCGCGGATGCCCGCCCGCGGTTCTGACTTTGGCATTTCCCGATGACAACAGAACTCGTAGAGAAACAACTGCGCATGTACCGTGCTGAAGGAAGAACTAGCTGGATAAATTTAAATGCCTGCGAGCAAGCCTGGCAAGAGGGAGTGAGCGCCATTGGCTATGGAAGGTGGGTTTTAAGCAACAAGGTTAGCCAAAGCAGGTTAGGGCTAACCGCCCATTGGTTATTTTGGCACATGATCAATTTCTCCCCTCTACTACATCATTAACTCAGCTCATGGAGTAGCTTGATTTTGTCCGATATTGGCAGCTCTGTTAATACGTTCATGTCTCCTGGATGGTCATAAAGTCAATTTCACTCAACGCTCTCGAGTTGATAGTGCTTGTATATATCCCGGATATATATATCTGACGGTTCATGTACAGAAGATTATTGATAGGCATAAATATGAGTCACGAGCGACAAGGCTTAAAATCTAGGGTAATATCATATACAATCTCCAGTATATCCAAGTGTTTGCCTCTCTGCTTCATGCCCTAAGCCCAGAGGTCGAAACCCGAGGACATAAATATTCCTTCGGTGCTCATTCGGTTTCCCCAGGCGGACATCAAGTTGAACCCCTGAAATAACTTCCCGAAAAGGACTAGATCCGGGCCTTGCCGAGCCGGCCCCAGCAAATGTTGCTGACCCAAGGCCACAACGATCAACTAGACTAGAGGGGGCCGACTAGAGGGAGATCAAATGACGCGCACCTGCCCGGGCAATCTCACGTTTTCGAACAGATTAATGCCCGCACAGATCGCCCGGAGAAGACGGTATCGCAAATTACTTGACCGTGCTTACCCGGCGATTTTTTCATCATTCTTTACCGGTAGTCTCTCGCTATCCTTTACAGTAACCCTATTTTCATCATTCGGTGCCTCTTTACCTCATCTCCCTTCCTGCCCCCTTTCTTTTTACCCCTCTTTTTCCACCCATCTCAATGCCCTACCCCTGGTCGGCAGTTTACCCAATCCCCCACTGGATCTCCCATTGACCGCGACCAGGGACCTCAGAAGGCGACCATCATATGCTTGAAGACGCATGTCACACCCAGCCTGGTCGATTCCTCAGCATGGCGCCGAATCAGGCTGCGCCTAAGTCAAAGCAGAATTGGGAATCCGGGTTAAAACCGATGCGCGGCGAGAAGCCGTCCGAGTGACGGGCATTTTGTGTGTAATAAACTGACCAGCTAGCATCAGCAAGCGCAAGCAGGGATTTCTGCGTCAGCCGAATACAACTCAACCTTACTTACACTTGTTACAACAAAACTCACCACGAGAGCTAGATCGGTAGTCTCGTCGGATGATTTGCCCCGTTTGCGAGCCACCGGGCTCCCGGTTCCCATATTCCGGAGTTGCCCAGGTCTTGCTTGGCTGCCTCATTACTCAGGCACAGAATATACTCCTAAATATTATAAACACCTTCTGTATATCAAATATATCGAATATATTAAAATGCATGTAAAACATGTATTATGTATTACCAGCTATTGTAAGCAGCGATAAATCTATGAAGAAAAATATTAAAATCAATCGTATTATGTTTGTAATCTGTAAATTCATTATGAAGTCTTAAACTCTTCTAGTGGTTGAAACATTCTAGTTCAAAAAAGAGTGCCTTTTGTATGGCATTATTGGTGGACCGCTCGACCGTGAGGGCCGCGCGATCGTGGTATACGTTACGGTCTTCACCGCCACCCCGTCAGCCGACATGTGACCGATTCTATGATGCCCTGGATTACTGTGATTAACTACCACCACGCACGAAATACAAAGCATGGAATACAAGGAACTATAGAGAAGCTAATGCAAATTCCGGACATACCTTGGCTACTTGAACTCAGTTTGCAGGGCGGCAACGTCTCTGCGCACTCATGGAGGATGAACCTATCATCTTCAGTCAACATAAATCATCGTAACAATTCCGATCCTGCAACTCGTGTACGGTAGAATAGATAGAAAATACAACAGCAACTGCATTGATCGCCGAGCGCAACGCTTCTTTTCCTCGAACCCCTGTTCCGCCTTTTTATTACTGTGGGTCCTCCGATGGAGGTTCCGGAAGTGGGTGGGCCTAGATCTCCTGGTTTAAATGCTACCCAGAATGTTTGATCTCTGATTGGAGAGACCCACATCACCCGGTCAAAACCTCTTCCTCGTTTTGGCAGGCAGGTTGCTTTGAAAGTGCGTGCCTACGGGCTGATCTTAGCCTCCGCCTGTTAAAGCGATCCGACTCATCTCTATACTAGCAAGAAAAGATGAACCTGAACCAGTCCGGGAAGTTCATCCTTGCCCCAGACAACACGTGACGAGAAGTCTAGATTGGCCCTACAGTTGCATTGAGTCAGACACAGCTTGAGTGTGATTGTGATAGTCCAAAATATCGCTCTGACGGGCCCAGACATGCGAAGACAGTCACTCCAGTAGGATCCGATGTGTCTGATGGGTCGCAACAGCCAGACATATCGGTCTCGAATTAATATGGGCTCACTTTTACTGGACAGTTACAAGGATTAGACTGACGGCCGCACGTAGTAAGGCCAGATCACGTTGGGACCGTCTCGGCTCACCTCAACTCTACGGTTAGTTCATATAGAACCGCTGGACTGTCAGAAATCACTGCAAATAGTTGACACGTTAATCGAACAAGACCCTGTCTACCTTTGACTCTCGTGGGAGGGAGCATTTGAGTCAGAACCGTCAAACCCCTGTGCGATAGGGGAAAGTACCGATGAACAGGTCTGCACTAATGGGTTGCTTTGACAGGGGTCCTCACGCATTGTGAGATGAACCGTATCTCCGGGTCAACGACCGTGTAGGAAGATGTTTTCCCCGGCTTCACCATTCCGTCTGTTCAGTGACGGCTTGTTCCTCACTGAGCTTGGAGACATCTCGTACTGGAACCCCCTTCTTGAGGCCCGACTTTAGCAAATCAAGAGACAATGCAGGCTGAACTGAAGCGAGAAATCGAGGACAAAACGGTGACTACAGCTACACTGGATGTTGTGAATATCACTAAGTTCATCGCAGGGGGCTTTCAACCGAGCTCTGGATGAATTGCATAATAACCAGGGAAGTCGGGAAAGTGTGACCGGATCTGTGGTAACAGATGATTCTTCATGATATTAGATCAATTCCCAGACTAAACGTTCTCTAGCTCGAGTTGATTAACGTGGTTTGGCCGTTGTCGGCACAAGAAGGGCATGATTCGACCGAACTTCGCCAAGTTATCCGTTATGTCTCGAACCAACTTCGCCCCGGTGACGACGACGAGTTGCTGCCATCCCGCTCGGAGCCCTCGCCTACATGCAATAGCGTTGATGTGCCGTCGCCCCCTTATTCATTATATGTAGAGAGAGATGGCGCGGAGCGCACGACCGCACGCGCAAAAAGCCCTCTAGATCGAGTGGATGGTCTTCTGACGGGTCAAGTAGAGACAGATTTCCTGAACATGGCTGTTTCACCTAGCGACCTTGCCGCTATCTTTCCAGAAGACTTCTATGGGGACATGTTAAATAATGATATGGGATTGGCGCCCCAAATCTCTCAATCTCAGGGTTTCGAGACATCGATGGCAATGGTTGACACTATGGAAGACTCGGGTCTGCACTCACTTACGCCAGGAGATGATTCTTCGCTGCTATCACAGTTGACTCCTCAATTGGATATCAGTACGAGCATGGACTTACAACCATATACGTCGACTGAGTTCTGGGAGGCATGGTTAGCTGAGTTAGTTCCAATGGCCTGTCCTGACTCGCCCGCAGGTCTAGGGGCTCCCATTGCAACCCCAAGCAATGACCTTTACCACAGCTTGAATGGGCTGGTGCCTGTCACACCTGATCTGCATGATCATCTTGATGAGAGCGAGGTTCCCGCAGGACTATTTGTTTCCAGTACCCCAACGTCAACCAGCATTGCGATCAATGTGGACGACATTGCCACCGGCCTAGAGAACAAGGATTCAGAGCCCGAAGTGATTGAGCAGATATTCAGATTGGATAGCTTTCCCGCATAGGCTACGTCCAAGAGGGGTTTCGTCCAGACTCTACCCCGAGAGTTGACGGGCGCTGACCAGCCGATCGGGGAGGCGACAGAGAAGTACTTTGCATGCAAGTTGACGGCGATACAAAGACACTCCTGAAGCTTAGATAGGGAGATGCGCGGAGCTTAGAGGACTGAGGGAGTGCCTACACCGCTCCCGCTTATTGATAATGGTTGACGAATCTAATAATTACTTGTTTGTGGAAATCTAACCCCAAGCAGACCGTATGAACGAGCGCAGAAGCACTGCGCTAGTTGCCTCAGGATTGGGGAATACGTCACTCGACCACTGTATCAAGGAAAGAAGATAGCACCGCAGTGGGATATCCAGGATCAAGGCGTATCAACGGGAGCCGTCCGTGGGTCCGAATATGTTGGATTACCTGCTGGTGAGTGAAGTGGATGGATGTGGAGGAACCAGTACCTGCTGGTTACTGGTTGAGCCTTGCCCGCGATATTTTCATGGTTCAAAAGTCGCAGGAAGCGGCAATTGCTTGCTTCGTCTTAGCGATTCAGTTGGTATACCGTTGTGTAAAAATGGGACTGCCTAATAAGGTCTACTCGGGTGTTGAAGACATGGCTGATGAACAGAGGATGAAGCTAGGTTGGACATCCGTGCCATCTTGGACCGAAAAAGGGCCATCATGTAGCACGATATTCCTCAAGGTTTGGGAAGGAGAAGAACGACAAGATAGCTACGACAAGCAACTCTGAAAGAGTAAACATTCGCTGAAGCAAATAGACTACGGCGGGGAAAAGAAAGGGGGCCAGAGAGAGATTGAAAGAAAGAGAGTAAGACAAAACAACTCCGTTTGAAAAGCCCAGAAAACTATACAGCAAGACAAAGAAAATCGAGCAGATCTAAAGACTCCACTGGCTCAGCCCCAGCCTACCGAGACCCTTCCGTAGGAACCACCATGCTGCAGTACTGGTTCCAAAACCGGATGCAGACACACAAAGTGCTCCAGATAACTTGGCGTTGAGAGCTATGGGCGTTATCATGGCGTTGCGTGGCATAAAGGCCTCCCATTCCCACCTTATCTGGTAACCCTAAAGGGGGCGGGGAGACGGCCAGCGCGACTGTGACTGCATGGGATAGTGTTGTATCGGGGAAAACAAAGATTTCACGCAATGCACCCTTCCCACGGCACTAAGCTGAAAATGGGTTTGAGAAGATAAATGGTAAATGGACTGGTCCCCACGCACGAACTTGTGCGTCGCAAGGCAGCGGTAACTGCGATTCAGCTCCCATGTCACACAAGGACATGCCGATCACATTGGCTGAGGTTGTTGCCAGCAGGGGGAGAGGCCGGGACAGACACCTCGCGTCCCACTCACGGACGTGAAGACCCACTTCACC